CTCCCTTCATTCCCCGTGTTAGTAGTGGCCACATTCCATTGTGGGACACAACCCCAGAAAATATCAAAGCTTTTGCGTCTCCCGAACGAGTCGAGGAAGATTGCATTTGAAATCTTCACGCAACAAAGCTCTGGGCCGCAAAGCGATGCTGGAACAACGGCATCCAGAAAGTACGCAATTATTCAACAATAAGAGGCCGAATCATGGAGAATATTGCGTTGTCCATATCCGTCGCCGCAAAGCTCAGTCCTGAGATCCGGCTTGCACAGGCAATCTCCGAGTTTTATGCCTCATTGGGTGATGACAGAAATAGACAGGCTCGATTCAAGAATCTCCAGACGCGCCGGTCCCCCGACAGTGTTCATATTATAAAGCTTACGGAGGAAATAAATCGTGATGGTGCACGGCAACATCGACCATGGAGACCTTACGCGACGCGACTAGTCATGGTTTTGGAGAGAATCCAGCAGTTTGCTGGTGTTGGAGACGTTCTAATTGGCGGGACGCAAAATATGCTGGCCTCCGGGGTTTGGGCTACTGTGCGGACGGCTCTAGAGGTAAGCCAACATGTGAATACCTCTCAGATATACGCTCACTAATACTCCTGACTATGCAAGGTTTCCTTGAGCTACTTATGTTATTTTGATCGGATTTCCGCCATGCTGCTAAGAATCGATCGTTCGATATCCCTACATCAGGATTTTGCGGTGCTCTTTCCTCAATGTCGCAAGACCCAGGGCTACATGTGCGAGTATACGATTGTTATAGTCGCTATCTGCAAGATGATCGTGAGCCACACAAACAGAACACCAGCTGCTCAAATAGCGACATCATTGATGAGGACCTTCGATTCGGTTTTCAAGCCTCTAGAGACGGATTTGCTGCATTGGGGTCAGTTGATCGAAAAGCAAAGCTCAATACTGGCTGTAAAGTTTAGTGTACAGCATCACAGTTCGACTCTCGAAAGGATTGGTAATGTAGAACTCGTTCTCTCCGGCGGCTCTTTCAAAGATAGTAAGGAAAGTCGGAAGCATCGCCTTCTTAGACACTTATCCCCGGACCAGAGGGAGTTCGACGCAATTTGGCGCAGGGAGCGGCGGAGGGGGACATCGACCTGGATATCCAAAGATCCGACATATATGGCTTGGCTCGAATCGCAATGTTCTTCCACCCTATGGCTCCAAGGAAACTTGGGATCAGGCAAGAGCGTCACATTAGCATCTGCTATTGCGGATCTACTCGTATCGGAAACGAAAACCACACTGCGTCATGACGGTAAGCATGTATCACTTTCCAGATCCAATCATGTCAGTTGATACTAAATTTCAACCAGGCATCAACAGATATCAAGCAGTAACGACTGTCTCATATTTCTTTTGCAAAAACGGGAACCAAAAGACCTTGGAGGCGGACAACATCCTTGGAAGTCTTGTGCATCAGGTTTTGAAAGCTGATGTCATGAACGTCTCGGTCACACAACTTCTGGATGATCCCAAGACAGCTCAGGTCTATAACAACTTCGTGTCATGTGCTTATGTGGATCTTCTACTCGAGTCCACAGCCGATAACTGGCAAGGGATATTTATTCTCGACGGACTTGAAGAAGCTCCTCCCGAGGAAATCGACTATGTACTATGTCAACTCAGTCGCTTGACAAAACAAAGACGCGTACGGTTGCTTTGCTCATCTCGGCCGACGTCGACATGCAAAGTAGGTGCTGAGAGCAACATCGGGATTGATAAGCTCATCTCAATGGAACAGGTGGACAGATCTGCAGATGTTCTGAGCTTCATTGCTTCGGAAGTAGATCGATGGAAGCAGATCAGGCCCCTGTCTCCGGAGATTGAGAAGCTTGCTACGCAACAACTTTTGGTTGGGTCCCAGGGGATGTTTCTTTGGTTGTCGCTACAGGTCGAGGCCATTTGCTCCAAACACACCAACGAACTACGTTCGGATCACGAAATTGTGCATTTACTCAGCAATCTGCCGAAAAACCTGCCAGAAGCATTTGACCAAGCTCTTCTTCGAATACCGGACATTAGATATGGCTCGCGAATCTTTCAGCTAGTAGCCGCTGCAGATCCATCTCTGACACTCGAAGAGCTTCGTGTGGCTGTCAATGTCACTCCCGGAAACGCATCTTGGAATGCATCGACCTTTTCATCGTCTGGATTTAGCATGCTATCGCAGTACGGCGGAAGTCTTCTCGACCTAGATGAGGAAGATCTGCATGTCAGATTTATCCACCACAGTGCCTTTCTACATTTAGCACAAGCCCCGGTTCTCTCTCAGGCGGCGCCCTTTCACTTCGACTTCAGCCAGGTGGAGCATATGCTTGCAACAGTGTGTGTGACGTACCTCAACTATGGCCTCTTTGAGAACCGTGTTTCTCGCGCCAAAGCGATATCATTTGCGAAGATACCTGAGACGGTCGTAGAATCGGTCTCTCCAGGTAATCCTCTGACTAAAAAGATCTTCTCAATACTGTCAAGAGACAGGCGTTTAAGGCGCTCTCAGATTGATCTGGAGCGTCTCGGCCTTGACCTTAACGTCTATGACGGCTGTCACCAAGAAGATGTCCACTTGTTTCTACCATATGCGAGGGAGAATTGGCTCAGGCTAAGTGCCTTGTTTTCTGAGAATCTCGAAAAGAACGTCTATGGGCTGTGGCAAGAACTCATCACTGGATCGGTTCCGTCTGCGTCAGCGCACCTCCCCTGGCAGCCAGGGCTGAAACACCTAGCCGCACGATGGGCTATTGAAAACGGTCACCGGCTTTTGTTCAGAGAATGTCTTTTCAACCAAGATTCGTCGATTGTAAGAGACGTCTTGCATATGACGATAAGGTATCTCAGAGAACAAGAAACCTTGCATGACGGTCACGAGTCCAGTCCAGTCAACGCAGAGCAGACAGCAGTCCGTCTCCAGGCCAAAGACATGGGCCTACTTGTACCGGTTTACCTCCTGAACTCCAACGGTTTTCCAGATATGGAGAATCTAGCGCTTCTTATACGGAGAGGATGCCTTCCACTTGGGGCTGATTCCAGCGGAAAGGTGTTTACTGACGCTCAGCAATTTCGCCTCAACACGATCGCTCAAGCCACTCAGATACGTCTGCTGGAATCTTGCAGCAAGTGTCATGAGGCTTCGGAGGGGAAGGAAACCTGTACCGAGATTCTGACGTTTCTGAGCCACTACCTGAAGGATGTGGACGCCGTACATGACAATGGTTTGACAATCCTCCAGGCATCCGTCAAGAACAAACATTGCCAGTTTGCAACGCTCCTTCTCGACAAGTGGAAATCAAATGCTAGTGGAAATGCTGGTGGGAGTCCCAGCCCACTACAAATGAGTCTTCGACAAAATATGAAGTCGATGGCACGTACTTTGATAGAACACGGTGCCGACACAATGGCCAGTCCCGACGAAGGGTTGTCCCCGTTATTTCTGGCCATCGATATTGATGACCTGGAGCTCTTCACAATGATGCAGCATAATCGAGCCAAACGCATCGCTGAAGTTCTTGGACCAAAAGGAGAGACAGCCTTTCAGTTTGCATGCCGCAAATCGTGCCAGCGCGCAGTAGGTGAACACGGTATGACCATTTTCGACCATCTTCTACGCAACGAGGATAATATTGATTTGCGTAATACCGAGGGCGAGACGGCGCTGATGGTAGCAGCCAGGAGTGGCCGGGCTGATGTGACGAGGCGCTTGCTTGTCAAGGGCGCGAACCCCAACACTGAAGATCACAAAGGCGCGATTTCGATTCATTTCGCTCAGAACTCTTATGTGGCATCTGACCTTGTCGATTATGGCGCGAATCCCAATAAAGCCAACCTGTACGGCGTAACGCCTCTCATGATATCAGCTTTCAATGGTGAAGTAGAGCTTGTCCGGAAGCTCTTGGAAATTGGCGCGGATTCAGGAACACGAGCCTCTCAGCATCAGGAGTTCGAAGGGACAGATAGCGAGACGATGCAAGCGTGTGTGGGTCGTTACAGAGATTGCCACAACGATGACGTCCTCCGAGCCACCGATTTCCACTATATCTCCTCCGACGACACCGCGTTGTCTCTCGCATTCACTCGTTTACAGCATCTGAACCAGGCAGACGTGCAGATTGAAAAAGATTCCCGTTTGGGAGAATTGACAGAGAATCCTTCTGCAGGGAACCTTTGCCAAAGACTACCCCCTTCGCTTCCTCTTATTCTGAACCTTAGGACAGATTTGGCACAGGTCGTAGATGTCTTGATCGACCACGGGATTGATAGCGAGACTCACGACCACCTCGAGATTCAGATACGTAAGCACAGGTTCTGGCAATCAATACTAGCTAAACCAGAGGGTTGGGATGAAGACAATCCGAGGGTTCTCAGATGGTCAGGACGATAGGCTGAAAGTGTACACATAGCATGTTTCAAGTTGTTTTTGCATTCTCCTAGCGAACAAAACTTGCATGAAAAACTCATCAGACTTGGTGATCGTCTGCATAACCCTACCAAGCCTGGCTTGAGGACGTTGTGGTGCCAGTCGATTGCCACTTCACGTCATGGACGGCGATGCAGTACAGGGCCTTTTATCTTTCCGTGCCAAGCCCGATGCTCTAGACGAATCTGGTGTATTGCCACTTATGATGGCTAGATTATGTGGAGACTTGACAGGTATTGAGCATCGAGTCTCGTGTGTTAACCCAAGCCAACGTCTCCCGGATGATTGTATGTTCGTCCGTTCTATTTCTTTCTTCAAAAGAAGGCTCAGGGGAGTCTGATGAGGGCTGGTCTACTACCTCAGGAAGGTTGACGGATGGGAACTGGCATTGTCGCACGCTTTCTTGCGACTAGTATGTCAGACCATTGGAATGAAAGCTGAATTATGTGGCAATTAAGTATGATTATGATTATAGCCAGCTCTTGGGCGTAAGACATCGCTCAAAACGCCAAACTCCTGCCAATTTACGCGCCGCCGTAGGAAAGCTTGAGTCATCAAAAAATGTAGGATCATGAAAAAGATTTCTTCCGGAGTCCACTGTCAAACGGCAAAGCATTTTCTCCCCCAGAGCTTTGATACTTGTTCCAAGCCACGCATCCATCTCGGACAGCGGTTGGAATATCGTACGCCTGTACCGCCTTGGGCTTCACCAGGAAGTTGGCAATGAGACCTGGGCTGGCATGCCAAGCAGTATGACAGTGAAAGCTCCAGGTACCGGGGTTCTTCGTGTCGAATTGAACAACAAGATGGCCGTTTCGACGAAGAAGCTCCGTATCGGAGCGAGCTGGGTTCTTCTTATTGATGATTGAGCCGTTCCAAATGCCGTCGCCCTCGGCCAGGATTTGGAAGTTGCCCCCATGGATATGCATAGGGTGAATGGAGAATGTGTTTTGAACAATGACTCGAACGTGGCGTACGTCATCCGGCACAGTTGTGAGGATGTGCTGCAGTTGGGAGAGATAGTCCGTTTTCCCGTCGGCTGCCTCCAGTAAGAGAGGTCGGCTCCAGTCAGCTTGGAAGGAAACGTTGTTCATCAGCCACAGCCAGTTGCCGGTTGCATTTGTCTTGTAAGACACGTTGTAGAAGACGGTCATGTCAGGCTTCGCGACGCGCTTTCTGAAGAGCGGCTTCACCTTTGGTAAGTCATACTGCAAAACCCTGTCAGCATGATGTACATCGCGATTCCGGATTCAAGTACGACTTACATGGCCACAAGATGAGTTGGTAAGCTTATAAGGAATTTCAAGTGCGGCGGGAACGGGTACAGCGGTTGGCGAAGCCTGGTCATAGAAAATAGTCGCGATAGTCTCGTTGACGTATGTGGTCGCACATCGCGATCTCATGCGCATGGCATACGCAGAGGTGGGGTCACCGGTAGCCTTGACGAGCACCTCAGCTCTGCCACCTACACCGAGAGCGATGTAATCGACCTCGTATGGTTCGACAGGCGTCCAGTCCATCGTTGTCACAATAAGCTTGTGATTGTCAATCGAAAAGACTTGGATGGCCTGGGCACCGGTGTTGATGAGGCGCAGCTTATGGGTCTTGCCAGTCTGGAACATGAACTGTGGCTTAGGAGCATCGTCGTGGCATGTGGCGTCGGTGATAGAGGGAAACTGGTAGGGCGACAGAGAGCAATCGTACGGATTCATGCCGTTGATGAGCTGGTTGGCTGAATGTGGGACTGTCACGTTTTCATCAGTACTAGTCGAGATGGCGCCCTCCGCGATGCCTTCGTAATCTCGGTGGTAAAAGTCGGAAAGCATAATAGGGCCGAGATCAATATCGTAATCGACGAACGTTGGACCGTGAATAATGATTGGCCCCCATAGCCCTCCGGCATATTGAAGTGCGTGATGGCCGTGCCACCAACTTGAGCCATAGGTGGAGGCCTTCCATCGGTATGTGAAGCTTTCACCAGGGACTATTGGGCACTGGGTGATGCCAGAGACACCATCCATCCACGGGGTCTCTTGCTGGTGGATTCTATGCGGTCGTCAGTGAGAGTCTCAAAGCAGGCTGAGCTTGGAAGCTCACCCATGCCAGTGGATAGCTGTGCCCTCTTCCGGACCAGTGATGTTATTGTGGACTGTGACCTCGACGATGTCACCCCAATTCGCCTCAATCTGCGGCCCAGGAAACTGTCCGTTCACAAGGAGAAGTTCTTGTTCTGCAATGCAACGATAAAAATGTGAGAAACGGGACGGTCCGAGTGAAGGATTGCGCAATGCGACATACCGAATCCATCAGGGGCTGCCCAGGTTCTCTCCACCGTCCACTCATACTTGCGAACAACGCCTGTGTCAGGCACATTTTCCGGGTTTGACTTGCATGTCCGGCTACCCCACGGGGCTTCCTTCTTGTCTCCGGCGGGGTCGTAGTCTCTCCATCGAGGTAAGCCGGTTGCGGCTACGTAAGATACGGAGGTCTGTGTGCGGGCTTCTTGCGAATGTGCTTCAGCGGAATGTGGGAGGCCAGAAAGAAGACCGAAGAAGCTGGGGAGGTTAGCGCGCCGGCGATTGAAATCGGCCCCCAGAGCTGAGTCGGACCACAGACCATGAACATACCTTAGCGCCGCTGGTACTGACAACTTCATTGTGCCGACTTAGGTACACGATAGAGAAAAGCAGTCTCTTTTGCGGACACAAACCAATTGCGTAGAGAATCCAGTCGATGATGGTCAGACTCGGTGTTCCATGGCATCTCAAGGCACACGAACGTCTGACCTTTATGTTATTCCAGGAAAACCCGATGCACGATGCGGACGGGCCGGACCAGTCGGCGACAATATTTTAGATGCCAGCAATGCCTGCGGCTGAGAACACCTCGCCAAAGCCACAATTTAACTCCATGCCTGAATTAGTTTCCGAGGTGTCCACGACCTGGTTCTAGGACATCGGGTAGGGTCGTGGCGCTAAGCGTGCCAAGCGCGGGAGCGAAAGGGAAGGATTTAACTGTTTAGACCAAGACTATGCTCAGCTCGGGCGACCCGACTCTGGGGTCCGAATCGCGTGTCTTGGAACGCATCCTCAGAATGCGGTCCAAAAACGCGTTGGGAACAAGAAAGCCTAGGTTTGTCTTACGTTTGCGTCGTGGCAATGGCTGCACCGTCGTGGAGCTACTGCAAAACTGGTTGGGTTAGCCAGCGCCACGGTATCCCCTTTGGACGCATATCCCGGAACGGATTAAGCGCAAACTACCAAAGAAGTAAAGCAGGACAGACGCGTTCCAGACGCAAGTCAATATGCGTTACATCCAGTTTCTGTAGAGACCGCAGATACGAGCTTATCCAATGCAGCCCGAAAACAGCTTGCAGGGCTGAGCCCACGGGATAGAGTAATGGTACGACCATGGAATAGCGTACATCCTTGTCGAGTGTCTTGGGCGGAAAGTCCAGGATGACTCAGATATCACAGCACCTGAAGGCACCAAGGGCTCCATATGACCTGACAACGTTCGAGGCATGCATGATGATCATACCAGGCATGCGCTAGAGTCTCACGAGGCATCACAAGGCATCGTTGGAAAGAATGAGCTTTTCACTGCTGCGGCAGGATTCACACTCCATGCTACGTTGCAGGCAGGAACCCGACGGTGTACAAATGACGGATGATCTACAACCTTGCATGCTTGCCAAGTTCTTTCCAGCGTTTTCATACCCGGTAGAACATCACCGAAGAAGAACTATTGTCTTGGGACCGTTGAGACTTGCTTGGGACGCCACCATTGTGAATTCTTAAATGCAAGTCATATCAATCTATGGGCGTATTTTGCCCAGGAGAAATGCCCAAAAACTCCAGAAACATGCTAGACCCCGTGTAAATGCATCATTGAAGCCCAACCCCAAAACAAATTAATCGCTCAACGCCTGCCGTCCACGAAATTCCAAGTTGCCGTGTTGCGAAAGAGAGTTTACGAATGAGTAATTCTCCAGAAGTCTTTTTGGCCAACCTGCTTGATTTTCGCGAGAGCAACCAGGAGTCCACCGACAAGCATCGTTGTACCAGCGAACAGCTGTGCGTAGAGAAAGTCGCCTTTTCCGAGAGTAACAAGGCTTCCGCCGATTGGTGGACCAGCCAAGCAGGCAAAGCTGACGACGGTAAAGACCATGCCGATTCTGACGCCCAGTTTTGACATGTCGGATGTGACCTCGCCCATGGATGCCGTGAACAGAGTCTGCACCGCATTTACGGTGAAGGCATAAGCAATGACCCAGACAGTGAGACCAGTGGTGGAGTGCACGCCGATCCATGCATAGACGTTAAGGCTGCTAAGGAGGGTCGAGATGACCAGGGTCCTCAGAGGCTTGATAGACCTGTCGGCAAAGTACGGGGGAATCAGGCGTCCCGTGATGCCTACAGCAGACATGATGATCAGAATCGTCAAAGCGCCGTTGTCATCAAGGCCAAGGTTCTTGCGGCCGAAAAGGGGGACCTGCAGAGGAGTTAGCACCAAAGAGTATTATACCGCACATCCAATCAAGCCTGCTCACATAGTAGTATGCAAAGTACGCCCCCAGCAAGGTGAAGAACATGCCGATCGTGAAAAGCAGATAAGGTAGCTCCTTGAAGGCAGCCAGCTCAAGGAGTGGCCCGGAGGATCGCTTCGTCTCCTTTGGTCGTGAGATGAGAAAAATAATGACGCTGTTGAAGAGCACCAAAAAGCCCATAGCGCGGAGAGTCCACGCAATGCCCACGGCAGGGATCAGCTGGCGTGCCATGATAGTGAAAATGACAGCTCCGATGGGTGCACCGCAGGAGCTGATGCCGAGAGCAAGGCCGCGTTTCTTGGTGAAGTACTGCGAGACCAACCAGACGAGGGCAGTGAAGTGCATGCCATTGCCGATACCCGTCGCAATTCCCTGAGATAGTAGCAGTTGCCAGTACTTGTCAGACCAGGAAGCGCCGAAGATGCCACCGATTTGAAAGATGAATCCAGTCAGTAGTGTAGTCCTGAAGTACCCCGCGTCGATGGCCCTTCCGCTGACTGTACCGAGGAGAAACAGCAGGAAGATTTGCATGGATCCAATCCATGAGACGTCAGACGCCGTTGAGCCGTGCAACTCCTCCACGTAGAAGGATTGGAAGACGCCAAAGGCTGTAATGAAGCCAAAGCCGTCCAGCACGAGAAGGAAGGCAGACAAGACTTGCAGCCAACCAACGAAGCCTCCGTCAGGCGCGTCGACGATAGCCTCAGACTTTTCCTCATCGGTATGGCTTGATGATTGCTGTCCTTCTGAATGCCTCTGGTCGGGCTCGTATGGTTGGAACTCTTGGTTGCTCAGCATATTGGTCTGCTTGTGGGTGTAATGATTATCGGTCAAAGTCATCTGGTCTGGATCTGCGGCTTGCGCCCCGTATTCAACTGCGGGTGGACGGACGACGTTCTCCATGGTAATGAATTTGGCTGTGATTGTTATGATGATGCAGAAAAGAACGATTCAGTCAAAGTGTCCGCGGAAAGCGTGGACTAAGCGACGTGTCAGAAATCGACAGCTGGAATTTGATGAAGCATTCACAGTGTCAACGAGCGGGGGCATGGCCAAGTGTTAACAAAAGAAAATACTCCATCTCGAGCCCGCGTCTTCATGGCAAAGTTGCCGGTCCGTTCACGGCGAGTAAGTTGTCAAAAGTCGATATGCACCGGATTTAGAAGCACCGGGCACAAGCCATGACCAGCCTCGACCACGACGCCGGCGAAGCCATGCTAAGCCTTCTACCAGCCTAGACTCAGCAAGCACAACAGATAATCCGGGGCGTTCAAAAACTCCCATCGTGGTCGGACAGATTATTTCGGTGCATTTGCCCTCCCTCCCAGCCCTAAGAACCTGCCGGTGCCTAGACATGCAAATAAGAAGCGCTAGAATATGTCGTGTCTTGCAATTGGGCTGATCATGCCTGGCCTGGCACTAGTTGCCGACGGCTAGTTACTTGCAGCGACGACAAGCGCTTACGGCTAGGCGGTATCATCCTAGCGGGAATGTCCTTGTAAACTGCTGATGTCCTTGGCATCTGATGATCGCATACGATCTAGCGGGAAGACTGTGATTGGACAAGTTCCCCAAGTGTCATGGCTGACAAGGATGGAGACCCCTGCCATGAGGCCTGACAAAGGGAGCCACATATTTGGCTTGGCTGATACTTTTCTACCATGCAAGTCATAATATTTTCTATACCGAGCCTGCTTGACCGTTTGAGGCAAAACTGAAGTCTCAGCCAATGGCCAGAGCTTCTACATCTGTTTTAGCTGCACTATTTTACTGTCTGTATAAACGAGCCATGCAGTGATCGACAAGATCGCATCCGCTCTGCCAAGTGCAACGATACATGCCGTCCCCACTTGACGGACAAAATTCCCGCCCACCGGTTTCTCAGGCGTGAACTTTACGGAATCCAAGTACCATATCCCCGGGACCAACTGCTAGCGAATACATGTGCTCTCGCAGGGTAATAGCAATCACAGAATACGAGAGCTCGCACAATATTTCGTAACAGAATGACGACAGCCGGCATGTTTCTCTGCCGCGCTTGGCTCCATACCACTCGGCCAAGCCAGTTTGATCGGCTGTCGTCGGTGACAATCGCTCGGTATGCCCGTTCTTGACCGACGCGAAGGTAAGCCTGAGCCTCGATCTTGAACGTGGCGCCCGGTCCTATTCCTATTTTGAGGTTGACTGAACCTTAAGTCAGAATGCAACCACTCTCGCACGACAGAACGTCAGCCACAGCTCGAATGGGGAATGATGGGGAATTCTTGGCCCAGACTGTGCGTGTTCGACGTGTTCAGCCTTCAGCTTGGGGGCCTCTGGGGTGCCCAGCCGGGCTAGTCCGGGCGCCACGTTTTGTTCCAGTACTCAGGTCTGAAAGTCTCCGTTCAACATGCTGTATGCATTCGGCGTACTGGCAGCCAGGTGGAGATGGCCTCAGCCTTCTAGAACTTGGTTTCCAAGTATAAGAAGATTATCACCAGACGCCCGATTTGGGGCTGAAGGAACAAGACAACAACCACAATTACCATTACAACTCAGTGCATTCACCTTATAATAATCACTACATCCCCTTTCCTCGTATACAGCTTCTGCTCTCAGTCTCTCTAGAGTCATATACCAACTGTTTATTTATCTTTTCCTTTCTTAGTCTATCACAATGGCTGTCACCGCTCCCATCGTCGCTCCCAACCATGACGACCCCAAGAAGATGGTCATGGGCGACAAGCCCAAGCCCAAGCCTCTCCTCCAAGTCCAAGCTCCTCTGAGCTGGCAAAAGAGCGTTCTCGCAACTCTCGACACTGGCTTCTCGCCTGTGGACACCAGCAAGCTCAAGAGTCCTTTGAGGGCATTCAACATTAACATGATCTCCGACCTTGAGATCGGTTCCCCAATTGACTCCTCCGAAGTCGAGATCCAGAGTCCTCTGAGAGCTTTCAGCATCAACTTGGCATCCGACGACGCCGTCCCCGGCTCTCCAATCAACCCATCCGACCTGAAGAGCCCTCTGCGAGCCGTTAGCATCACAACGGGCCCCGCACTGTCACTCGACGCCGCCTCAAGCCAAGGTAAGCAGCGCCACCAACAACGTTGCATCCACACAAGTAGCT